AGCCCCGAGGGGAGCGCGGCGCTGAGGGAAGGGGGCAGCGCCTGGCAGGTGCCTGCGGGCTGGAGCCAGGCTCCAGTGAGCAGCGCTGCGGGCACCGGCGTGCGAAGGCCGCGCCCCAGCTCGTGCACCAGCCCCAGCCCCAGCCCCAGCCCCTGCAGCAGCCGAGCCTGGCGGGGTGCAAAGCGTGCCGGCGGCAAGCGGCCACAGCTCCGCGCTGTCTCAGCGGTGCCACCTCCGCTCCGCAGGCCTCGGCCCGCGGGTCGCACACGGTGCACGGGCCTCCGCACGCCGGCAGGCCGGGGCTGTGGGCCGTGCGGGGCAAGGGAGCTCTCCGCGCCGCACCCCGCGGGCGCTGGGTGTCACAGGCAAAGAGAGCAGGGCAGGTGTTTTCCCTTGGAGCCCTCGGCTCAGCTCTCGCCCTCCATCCTGGGGCTGGGATGAGGGGCTGAGAGGCCGTGTGGTCTGGCAGCAGGGGCCGCAGGGCATGGCCGAGGCTGGCGGGCGGCTTACTGGGCAGCTGCCTCTCCTCGCAGCCTCGACATGGAGTCGTACCTGATCCACGTGAACGGGCACGGGGACCGTCCCGCCGTCCTGGACGTCCACGTCAACATCGGCGGCGGTGGCCCAGCCCCGGGCAAGGGGAAGGGCCGGAAACCGCGGTGGGCAGTGAGGGCCTCTGAGATGTCCAAGAAGACCTTTAACCCCATCCGCGCCATCGTGGACAGCATGCGGGTGGAGCCCAACCCCCAGAAGCCCATGATCTCTCTGTCCATCGGTGAGGGGCTGTGGCAGGGCAGGGCTGGGCCACGTGTCAGGCTGGGCGGCTGCGGTCGCTCTTGGGTACAAGGCTGCTGCCATCTCCCCACAGGTGACCCCACAGTGTTCAGGAACCTGCCCACGGACGACGAGGTCACCCGGGCGGTAAAGGAGGCCCTGGACTCGGGGCGCTACAATGGCTATGCCCCCTCGGTCGGTACGTCACCATCCCCTCCCAAAGGGCAGGGGCCAGGGGAGCTGGCGGCCACCTCTCCGGGCAGACGCCGGCACCCTGGGCTGCACCGTCCGGGCCCCCCACCAGCCCTGCCCGCAGCAAGCGCTGCTCCCTGCTTGCCGTGTCTGCCTAGCAGAGGAGCTCGCCTGCCAGCTGCAGCTCCTGGGGCTGGAGCCTGGCGGTGGGGCCGGGGGCTCTGCCTCCCCCCTGCAGGCCTGACCCCAGCCCGTGGCACAGCTCCCTGCCGGACGGGGGGCAGCCCGGTGCCGCGTCCTCGTCCCACCCGTGTCCTGGCCGGGCTCGAGGGCAGGGGCTGGCACCAGGAGATCAGCAGGGTGCAGCCGACCGGCTCCGGCCCCCAGGCCCGTAGTGTGACCCTGGTGTTGCCCGAGACAGACTGCACCGTCCTGGCTCGGTGCTTGGGCTGCCAGCCCCTGGGCAGGGCTTGAGGTGGGATGTGTCGCCCAGCATGGGGTCAGTTCTTGGCCCTTCCCAGCTCCCAGCCTGGGGGACCGGTGACTCCCGCTGGGTCCCTGCAGCTCTCTTCTGCCACGTCCCCATTGCAACCCGGGCCCCAGCTGGGGTCTGAGCCATTCCCTCCACAGCTGTCCCTCTCTCCCCAGGGTACCTGTCCTGCCGGGAGGTCATTGCTGCCTCCTACAGCTGCCCAGAAGCACCTCTGAAAGCCCAGGTGAGGCAGCCGGCGGGTGGGGGCTCCTGCAGGGTGGGCTACAGGGAGCTGCAGCTGCAGCCGTGGTGGGTGGGGACAGGAAACCTGGACTCGATCGTTGCAAAGAGCCTGGGGGCCCCTCACCGCCCCCCCCACCCCAGCTGGCAGGGCTGGGCACCAGCCCCCAGCAGCCGGTCGTGGCACCCCTGCGGCTGTTCACGGGCCTTTCGTCCACGACAACGTATGGCCCTGGTTCTGCTGCGGGCACAGGGCTGGGACGGCTCGTAGCGGCACGTGGGGCTGCTCCGGCGCTCACAGCCGCCTGCCGTGCCGTACGCAGGACGTCATCCTGACCAGCGGCTGCAGCCAGGCCATCGAGCTCGCCTTGGCGGTGCTGGCCAACCCAGGCCAGAACATCCTGGTGCCCCGGCCCGGCTTCTCGCTCTACAAGACGCTGGCGCTGTCCCTGGGCATCGAGGTCAAGTTCTACAACCTCCTGGTGAGCGAGGGAGGGCAGGAGCGGAGCATGCAGCCCCAGGCCCCAGCTCGTGCTCCCATCAGGCACACGCATGTGCATGCTGATGGGTACGTGCATACGCACACATTCTCCAGGGGCCTCCTCCCAGGAGTTTCGTGTCCTTTTACAGACGGCCGGAGGGGCTGGTGCAGAGCCCCTCGGCCCAGCACGAGCTTGCCATGGCAGCAGAGTTCCCTGGGCTCTTGGCTTCGTCAGGCACAAAGCACAGAGATGCCCACACGGGCTCTGCCGGTGCCTGGCCCCCTGTCCCCACAGCCTGGGCCTAGCCCTCCACTAGGATCGGGCGCCATGCCCAGCCTGTGCCTAGCCCCCGTGCTGCACCCGAGCCTGGCACCCAGCCCTGGCTGTGTCCTCACTCCACTGCCTCAGCCTTGCCCCCTCTTGCTGCCAGCCTGAGAAGTCCTGGGAGATCGACCTGAAGCACTTGGAGTCGCTGGTGGACGAGAAGACGGCCTGCCTCATCGTGAACAACCCGTCCAACCCCTGCGGATCCGTCTTCAGCAAGAGCCACCTCCAGAAGATCCTGGCAGGTGAGCGCGAGGTAAAGCCGGCAGGCAGGCCTGGCCCCAGCCCTCCCCCTGGCTGAGCGAGGGAGGGCCGCCGTGCGCGACTGCCCGAGGCTGCACAGCCGCACCCAAGACGTGCCCCGGCCCGGCTGGACGCCAGGGCAGCTGGGTCTGGCTCTGTGGCTCTCGCGCGGGCTCCGGCATGCCAGGCCAGGAGCAGGAGACCCGCTGTGCCGCGCACGGCTGGGCCATGCCTGGCCCAGGGCAGCGAGGGTCCCTGGGCAGCTGCATAAACCTCTCTCCCTCCGCAGTGGCCTCAAGGCAGTGTGTCCCCATCCTGGCCGATGAGATCTACGGTGACATGGTGAGTGCCCGTGCTAGGGGCTGCGGTGGTGCCGGCTGGGAGCGGTGACCCCGGCAGAGCCAGGCCGTACTCGAGCCCCCTCCCTGGGGCAGCTGCCCTGTCCCATGGCTGGAGCGTCCGGGAACAACCCGTTGTGCCTCGCACCCGGCCCTGTACGCTGCGGTGCTGCGAGGCCTAGTGCCTAACAGTGTGGTTGTGAGAGGTCCTGAGCACGGGGCCTGGCCCTGCCCCTGCCCCGGGTCTGCCTCCTCCATGGCCTGCCCCTGACACATCCTCCTGCTCCAGGTGTTTGCGGACTGGAAGTACGAGCCCATCGCGGCACTCAGCACCAATGTGCCCATCCTGTCCTGTGGGGGCCTGGCCAAGCGCTGGCTGGTGCCTGGCTGGAGGATGGGCTGGATCCTTGTCCACGACCGGAGAGACATCTTTGGGAATGAGGTGAGGCTCCGGTGTGGTCCCCTGGCCTGCACGTCTCCCACCCCTTCCCCTGACCCTGTGCCTTTCCTCCCTGGTGTGCCCACCCGGCTCTCATGCACACGCCTGTACCCTGCCTCACACTCATGTGCTCCCTGGCACACGCATGGCTCCTCCTTGCACTCAGCCCTGCTCCTTCATGCTGTAGTGCCCTGAGCACACGTCTGCCCCATCGCCCCCTCGGGCTCCTGCAGGCTGCCCTGGGTGCATGCAGTCGCTCCCACATGCACCATCCTGCTGCCCCAAACTCCGCCGCGCCCCCTGCCTCCCTCTCCCCCGCTGACCCTGTTTACAGGGTGGGAACAGTCCTGTGTACCCACAGCAGTGTGCCCCCGTGTGCTCTGCCCCGATCTCTCCTTATCAGTGGGACACGTGGTGCCCAGAGCGGGTCACTGGCACCGAGTTCACAGCAGTGCCTACCTGGTGCAGGGCTTTTCACATGTCTGGGGTGCCTGGTGTGCCCCCCAGGACTCAGAGCGGGGGGTGCCCTTGAAGGGTTAATAGCCCACCCATCTCTATTTGGCACTGAGGCAGTTTCCCGCTGTTGCTTAAGTAAAGGGACTGAGCTTAAGTGAAGGGATTGAGCGGGGCAGGGGAGGGGGAGGATTCACCTGGGGGTGAATACGCATGCAGGAGGTCACGGGGGCAGTCCTGAGCCTGGGGCGGCTGCGCACCGGGGGGCAGCCTCAAGGCCGTAGCAGAGCCCAGCTGGCGAGGTCTCTGCCAGCGCAGTGCAGGGAGCAGGGGGCTGCTGTTCCCGGGCTTGGCTCTGCCTCCAGGCACCGGAGCCTCGTGGCAGCCCATGCCCCTGGCAGCGCCAGCCCGGGTCAGGGCCAGGCTCCAAGCTCCCCCCAGGCTTGCCAGGGGCTGTGGGACCAGGCCTTCCTGAACAGCACGGGCTGGAGCCTTCCCCCCTGAGCTCGGTGCCGCCATGTGTTGCAGATCAGGGACGGGATCCTGCGGCTGAGCCAGCGCATCCTGGGGCCCTGCACGCTCGTCCAGGGTGCCCTGGAGCACATCATGCGGCACACGCCGGCCGAGTTCTACCACAACACGCTCAGCTTCCTCAAGGTGTGCAGGGTGGGGAACTGAGCCCCCACTGCCGTCTGCCTCGGGGTTACCCGCCCTGTGCCGTCCCCCGGGGGTGCTTGAGCAGGCAGGGCAGGACACTGGCCAGGGGGCACGGTGGGGGCACTGGTGTGGGGGGCAGGAGCGTCCCTCCCCAGGGGTGCTGCGGGCAGCCATGGCGCTCTCAGGCAGCCCCGTTGCTGCACTGTCTACCGGGCGGGAGGCAAAGGGGTGCACTGGGCACTGACCGACCAGGCACGGCCGAGGGGCTGAGCGAAGCTCAAGGCCGCGGTCACCGTCTGTTTGCGCTCGCCGTGCCTGTGTTTGTGCAGGGGGAGCCCAGTGGGGCTGGCTTGGAGCTTAGCAGCAGGTGCCGAGCTGCCTCCTGGAAGCTGTCCCGCATGCTGAGCTCTCCCCTCCACCTCGCAGGCCAACGCTGACCTGTGCTACACGGCCCTGTGTGCTGTGCCCGGCCTGCGGCCCATCCGGCCTGCAGGGGCCATGTACCTCATGGTAAGTGCATGGGTCCAGTCCTTCCGGCTTGTTGCCGGTCAGTGCCCAGATCTCCCGCGCTCTTACTGGCAGTGTGGGATGGTCGGGTTTCCCGGTGACCCTGGGCTTGTGCCTTGCCGCAGTGTGACAGGGTGTGAAGGGGCAGTTATGGGGGGCGGCGGAGGGTCTGCGGGGAGCAGGGGCCTCGGGTGGGCACAGGGAGGGCAGCTCCATGAGCTCTGGCCACAGTCCTGCCACAATTACCCTGTGCCACAGGTGGGGATCGAAATGGAGCATTTCCCCGAGTTTGAGAACGATGTGGAGTTCACGGAGCGGCTGATCGCAGAGCAGTCGGTGTTCTGCCTGCCCGCCACGGTCAGTGCCTCTGCACCCACCCCAGCCTGGGAAGCCAGGGGGCTGTGGGAGCCTGCAGGGGTGACTCCATGGAGAACAGGGTGCTGGGGGGAGAGCCCAGCTCCTCTGACACCGGCCCACCCACCGCCCCGTGGTGAGAGTTGCAGGGCCTGGCCCCTCCTGCCCGGCCAACCGGTGCCCCACTTCCCCTTGCAGTGCTTCGAGTACCCCGGCTTCTTCCGCGTGGTGATCACGGCGCCCGAGGAGATGATGCTGGAGGCCTGCGCCCGCATTCAGGAGTTCTGCGAGCGGCACTACCAGGGCAGCGAGGTGGCCCAGGACCTGGAGTGCGACAAATAGCTGAGCACAACTTGCCCCTACCTCCATCCAGCCGTGCCCCATGCAGCACCAGCACCCCACCACCCCTCGCCTGGAGCAGGCTCCTGTCTGGCCGCTGCCCTGACTGGTCCTCAGCATCACAGGCAGCAAGCACTTGGTGCTGCCGCCTGCAGCCCCTCCACCCCTCCTGGAGCCCGTGTGCGGGCTTGTGCCACTCAGCCCCCCACCCCTCCCTCGCACGGGGAGGCGTCACCTGCTGCTCTGCTCCTCGGGGTTGGGCTCCACGCATGGCAACAGCTTCCCGCTCCCTGCCCCTCGCAGCTCCGCTCAGTCTTGAGCTGGACTCTGCCCGACAGGCCCGTGCCAGCCCCCAGCGCTCAGCCCCTCCCTCAGGCCAGGGCAGGGCTGGACAGTCGGGCAACAGCCCCTTCTCCATCTCTGCCTGACGCTGCCCACTGCAGCTGCTGGTCTTGTCTTCTCCAGCACCATCCTCACCTGAGCACCATCCACTGTGCCTTTTGAGCTGCAAATGACATAAGTTATTGTGACTTTTTGTACGAATAAAGGTTCTGACAAGCTGTGCCGTGGGCTGGGTGCTGTGGGCTGTGCACCATGTGCCGAGACTTTTCCCTGGGGCCATGTTTGCCCTGCTGGCTGTGCCGCTGCGGGGCCTGGGCTGGTCTCCTACAGCCGTTCCTGTCGGCCATTCCAGGCATGACTGGCCCCCCCGC